CGGCCGGGGCGAGCTGCCTGTGCCGGCAGCGGGGCCTGGGCTTACAGGGCCCCCCCAAAGCTCTCCTCTTCCTCGGGCAGAGGGTCTGTATCCCAGCACGTGATGTCGATCTCTGGAGGACAGGGAGAGGGGTCAGGATGGTTTGGGGTGCCCCAGAGCGGGACAGACTCCCCCTCCTCACTGTCCTCACTCACCTGGGGGCTTGTTGTAGAAGACGGGCTGGGGGGCTTTGGCCGACAGCTCCTCGGAGGGGGGCACCTCCTCCTCCTGGGACTGGCTGAAGTAGCCCTCGCTGGCCTGGGGGGTGGGGGCAGGTTGTCAGGACCCCCCCTAGCCACCCATCACCCCCTGACCTCTCCCCATAGTGATTCTCACCTGCTCCCCACGACCCGGTGTCCCGTCCTTGGGGGCCATCTCCCCATTGGTGATGGGGGGTGTCTCTCGGCCCGGAGTGTCTTCCTGGGGCGTGTGCTGGCAGCCCAGATCCTGGGACTGGGGTTCTCCCTCGCCAGCTGCCTCCTCCTCATCCTCATCCTCCTGCTCCGCGTCGCAGAAGGTGGCGGGGGGCTCAGGCAGCTCATCCAGGCTCAGCAGGGCCCCCTCCTCAGGCAGCATGGCCGGGGGTGTCTCGGGGACAGGGGCAGCAGGCAGGGGCCAGGCAGCTGGGGGGGTCACCCCGTCACTCTGCCACAGGTCGATGAGGCTCTCGGGGTTGGGGGCTTCCCCAGTTTGGGGCTCGTCAGCCACAGGTGGCAGGGAGGGCTCGGTGGGCTCCAGGGTCACCAGGTCCCCCAGGGCATCACCCCCCGCTGTCCACACTGGCCTGGGACTGGGCTCGTCCCCGGGGGGCTCGATGGCCTTGTCCTCGGGCCCTGGGAAGGGCCAGTGCTGCTCGGGCGTGGCTGGCCCGGGCTCCTGCGCGCTGGGGCTGGGGGACTCTGCAAGGAGGGGACAGCAGTCAGTGGGGACGAACAACCTCGTTGAGGGTCACCAGGGACAGGGATGCAGTTCGGGGGGATCTGGAGTCCTTCGGACTGGGCATGGTATGGGGAATGCTGCAAGGATGGGTGGGGTGGCTGGGCAGGGAGGGGACTGTGGCATGCACTGGGAAGTGAGGGGACACGGGGAGGGACAAGGTGGTCCCTTGGGGAGTGGAAAGGAGGGAGAAAGGGCTGTGGAAGGAACGGGAGAGGTGCCCTAAGAAGATGGAGAAGGGAAAGCTGGGATGCACCAGAGGATTCCAAGGGGCTCGTGGGGATGCAGCAGGGACACATGGTGACAGCAGCAGAGCTGGCTGAGGTGGCCTGGGGATGCAGTGGGGCAGAGGGGATGCACAGAGGGATACAGCAGCCCTGGAAAGGATGTAGCAGGATGGGGCAGACTGGGCAGCATCGCACTGGGGGAGCCAGCAGAGACAGCAGGGCTGCCCTGGGGGATGCAGCAGGGAGGGCCGGCATGTACGGAACAGGGGGAATGCACCAGAGACAGGGGGATGCATGGCATGGGGTGCAGCAGAGACAGCAGGGATGCACTGGAGTTAGAAAATGCACTGGAGGCGGTAGGGATGCAGCAATGACGGTGGGGCTGCACTGGGGGATGCAGCAGAGACGGCGGGGATGCAGCGGCGCAGAGCAGCAGGTACGGCGGGGACGTGCTGGGGGAGATAGAGCGGATATGCCGAGGGATGCATGGATGCACTGAGCCATGCATGGGCAGCTGCAGGGGCTGCAGCAGAGCCAAGGGGCTGCAGCGGGGATGCGCTGTGGGGCACAGCAGAGGCAGGCGGGATATGCCAGGGGAAGCGGGCGGGACAGCATGGATGCACTGAGCCATGCAAGCGCGGTTGGCGGGGCTGCAGCAGATCGAGGGGGCTGCAGTGGGGATGCACCGGGCAGCCCTGGGCAGGGGTAGGCAGCGCCAGCCCTGCGCCCACCTTTGGGCGTTGCCGGCGTCTGGTCAGCGGGCGCGCGGGTGCCCGGTTCAGCCAGCGGCGTGGCGGCCGGGCTGGACTCGCAGGGGCTGCAGCCCGCTGCCGAGGCCTTGCGGAAGGCGTCCGACTGGCTGCCTGCAGACAAGGGAGATGGGGTGGTGTGGGGGGGCTGCCCACGTTGAGGAGGGGAACCAGCACCCCAGCATTGCTCCTGCCCCACACCAACCCAGCTGAGAGCTGCCAAGCGCATGTCACTGTGTACCTGCCACCACGTCGTCCCCTCCTGGGTGGTGGGGTGGAGGCTCCAGGTGTCCCCACCACCCCCATGAGTTTCAGTCCCCACATCTCCTGGGCAAGGGGACAGGTGGCCCCATACTTGCCACGGTGCACACTGGCTCTGCTCACGCATCTCTCGGCTGTGCCCTGGCACAGCCTTTGTGGGCACAGTTCTGTGCCCTGTCAACTGTGCCTGTGGGGGCACAGCCCTACACGGCCCCTGGAACCACCTGGCCCCTTCTGCCCCACTGGCACAGCCCCACACATTTTTGGGCACAGCCTTTCCCATTCCATGCTGTCTTGTGGACAGTCTGGCAGTCTTGTCCATGGCACAGATGTTCCATCCCCTTCTGCCTGATTGGCACAGCCTTTTCCACACTGCCAAATGCTTCCCCGTGGGCACAGACCTGCATGGTCCAGGGCAGAGATGTCCCTTTCCCTTCTGTCCCATTAGCACGGGATTCTGGCACAGCCTTTTCCACGCTGCCCAACCCTGCCCCATGGGCACACTGCTGCACGATCCAGGGCACAGCTGTCCTCTCCACAGCTGCCCCACGGGCAGAGCCTGCCCTGTGCTCACTCTACCCCATGGGCACAGTCTAATCCATCCCACTGTGGACCACCACCTCTCCTGGCACAGCCAGCCCTAAGTCCCCCCACCAGGGGCACAGTGACCAGCTTGGGGCCAGCCCCAGCAGGAGCACTGTCCCCGCCTGGGTGCCCGTTTCCCTCGGGGTGCCCGTCCCCCTCGGGGTGCCCGCGCTGCCGCCGCTGCCGGTCCGGTGTGCCGTGGG